CCATTCTTAGGGAAGCCAGATACCAGAGGATAAGTCACGCTGCAGACCTCCACAACACCACTCCTGCTAACCACAAGATGGCCGCTGTGCCACATCAACTGATGGTCAACTCTGCTTACCAGAACTGCTTTCCTGAAACTGTATTCCATGGAGACTCACCTACAGTTGCGGAACTGCACGAGACCCACACTTGATCCAACCTTGAATGGAATCTATTTTCCCTATTGTTAAAAACTTTGGACTCGTGACCCCTCTCCCTCTACTCGCAGGTATCGCATTTTCAATGACCCCTCTGGAGGATAGCTGTCTATAGCAGAGATAGAGTAATTGGGAGAGGGGGAAAGGGCTGAGGGTCAAACATAGGATAAAAAACATATTTATATGTATGAAAGTAGAAATGGAACAGTATTGGTGACGACATGCTTGATTAAGACACTATGTAGTTTATCCTAGATGGGAAACTACACTTGGTGTGTTGTGATGATACTCAGGGAATGAGTGTTAGGCAATATAATTTAATATAAAAAAAGTAATAAGCAGGAGGAAAAAAAAATGCACATTTGATGACTGAAGAGAGTTGTATGGACACAACTGGGGTCTACTTTATAATATGTTCATTCTACTCCCTGGGGTTTATGCCTAGGATCAGATTTGGATACATGTGTAAGGATATGTCAGCTGTGCTAGCTAGTGGATATACTTAGACTAATTGAGTTCATTGGTAGAACAATTGAATGGGGGGGGGCGGAAGCCATTGAGGGCAATCATGAATGTCAGGGACAATGGAGGAGGAAGATGGGACATGGCAGAGGGTGGGGATGGGGAACCTAGGATGGCAAAACAAAAGGCAAGGTATGCAGGACACAAAAATTGGGAAATCATTTGCTGAGAACATATATGTTGATGTGCTTGATTGAGCCAATGCACAGTGTATTTTGGATGGAAAATTCATATGTGTGTTGTGATGAGAAAAAAAAATTTATAATAAAAAACAAAGTATAAAAAAAAAAAAAGGAGGGAGAAGAGGATAAAGACAGCAGTGAACAATAGAGAGGCAGGATGTTAATGAGAAATAGATATGGTTTATTACCTGTTGATGATGACATGTATAGTATTCTCAACTGAACCGGTCTGGGAAATATTTCATGATGGGTGAAGTCTCTTTAATAAGCAAAATGAGAAATAGTGATTGACTGTTTAAAAAAATTATAATAATAATTATTGGGAAAAGCATGGAAAAGATATTGAATGATAAAGCGGGGAGATTGATATCTCTGTATTGACTGACATGCATGGCATTCCCTTTTGAAAAAGCAATGGAAGTCAATGTAAAGTTATATGTAATCTAGTGTAATAGAAAGAAGATTATGATGATAATAAAATAAAAAAAAAAAAGAAAAATAGGAGGAAATGAGATTCAGGAAACAGGAAGTTCAACAGAAGAGAAACGCAAAGGGAAGTTGTGGGAAGTCAGCTATGAAGCAGGCCTGAAGAAAACAAAAACAAAAACAAAAAGGACTCCAGAAAGCTTATCTCAAAGTAAGATTGTGAAAGAAAGGAGAAAAATAGAAAAAGTCAGTCAATTTTTAACTCCAGAAAAAATAAAAAAAAATTATACCAAAAACATAATCATATGCCATTGGGCTTACCAGTGAATAATCCTTACATTGTCACAGTGATCTAAACAGCTGTAATTTATTTAAACAAAAAATAACCTTTTATGTAAGTTGGAGGGGGGAAACAGAGTTGTGACTGTGAGTGGTGATGTAGAGATGGGAGTAAGCATGCTAGGTCCTCCCTTTAGCATATTAAGAAGCAAACTGAGGGGCCAGCAGATGGTGTAGTGGATACATCACTGGATTCCCACATGGCCAACTGTGGTTCAAGTCCTGGACCTGGTGGCTTGAAAATTATGCCTGGCGTGTGTGTGCGAGCCCAAGATCCCAGGAGGAGAAGAGATTACAGAGAGGCCATCATCTCTGGGGGGTGATTTCTCACTTTCCCTCTCTCTGTCTCTGTCTTCTTCTGGTGAGTGCACAAGCCCTATGGCAAAAACCTCTGGGGAAAAAACTAGAAAATGCCTTAAAATGATAAATCAAGAGATAGCCATATAAGCATATTTTCAAAGATGATCAGGCCAAATGGATAAACAGAGTTTTAAAATGGCTGATTCTGGGGAGAAGGATGACACAGGTAGATGGGCAGCCCTGACGGCTAGTTTGTTCCATAAACCTTGTAGTAGTGCTACACTTTCAAAACCAGGCCTGTAGCTTACTTTGATTAATGTGTTTTTAGCTAAAGGACTTTGTGAATAGTTATTTCTTTCTTTCTTTTATAGCACAAAAGCAGGACGAGGATTTACTGAACAATCAAATTTCTCAGTTTACACGGGACTTTTCACGATACTTTAGCAATGCGGTAATGGATCTCTGCATTCATTCTTTCTTTTATTAGAATACTGGTTATTTACAGATAGCAAGATTTACCTGACACCATTAATGTTTTCAAGAAATTCACATTTATTACATTTATTCTTTCAGTGCCAATGTTTATAAATTTTAGTCACTGCACACAGACATACATATGTGTATAAGTGTGTGTGTGTGCACATACATACATACAGAGAGAGAGAGACAGATTCTGACACCAACATTGAACAGTGAGAAAAATTATTGAGGGATCTTTGTTTCCTTATTTATAAGGTAGAGACTAGATTGTGGTTTTTTTTTCTTTTTCTAGAATTACTTGTCTCATTATTATCATTATTATTATTATTTAATGTGCACTCACCAGAGAGAGACAGAGAGAGAGAGAAAGAAAGAAAGAAAGCTGTCTGAGACTTGAATGGCAGTTGGCCATGTAGGAGTCCAGTGCCCTAACCACCACACCACCTGCTGGCCCCTAGATTGTGTTTTTAAGGATGAGTGGGCAGAGCTGTGGTGGAGAGAGTGGACAGAGCAGGAGCAGGTAACAAGGTGCTTACTACCTTTCTAAAAGCTATGGTCTGTAATTAGTGATAGTATACCTATATGGAGTGTTTTGGTTAGAAATGGAAATATCCTATCTTTGAGATGCACTGATATAAAAATAACTAATATGTTAGGGAATAAAGAAATATGAAGGAGGAAATTGTAAGTAAGTATAGTATCTATTTAGGGCTATTTTCTTTCTCATGTTCTTTTTCCTTTCCTTTTCTTTCTTTTTTTTTTTTGGGGGGGGGCAAGTGTGCTCGCTGGAGATAGACAGAGAGGGAAAGTGAGAAATGTCCTCCCAGAGGGGATGGCTATGCCACAATCCCTTCTCCTCTACTCTCTCCTTGGAACTTTGAGCATGCACACACGCCCAACATAATTTTTAATCCGCTGAGTCCAGGATTCAAACCGTGATCAGCCATGTGGGAGTCCAGTACCTTAACCACCATGCCACCTGCTGGTCTCCAGTTCTATTTTCTTAATAAGCTGCTTTTGGTAATGATTATACAATGAATCGAGATCGTGTGATTTATAAATAAGAATGAATAAAGTATATAGTAGAGGAAACAGAGAATTCTGAAAACTCTGTGAAGTAATATTCTTTCTTGAAGAAATAGTACATTCTCCTTTGAAAGCCTCAATAAATCCCCCCTTTACCATTTTCGCCAGAAAGGTGATCATGTATCAAAGTATGTTCTATTTTATGAAGATGTTTAAAAATACAGGGTCCTTAACTTGCAGTCCATGGACTGCCTTCCCAGAACCCATGAATATATGTGTATAAATCAGCTTTGGGATTTATGTTTCTCTAAGGATATTTCAGCTAGACGCTTCAGAAATTAATTTAGAAACCCTCTCTGAATGTGACTTATGAAGTCTAATACTGTGGTGCCCTGCTTTTTAAACTCTGAGAGATAATTGTGGGTTTTATGTTTGAGCAGGGGAAAGTGAGGAATGAATTAAGACAGCTACGAATTCAAGAAAGCAAAAAACTCAAAGATCATTTTACAATTCTAAAGAACTTAGAAAATGAATATGTTTCTCTAAGGATATTTCAGCTAGACGCTTCAGAAATTAATTTAGAAACCCTCTCTGAATTGACTTATGAAGTCTAATACTGTGGTGCCCTGCTTTTTAAACTCTGAGAGATAATTGTGGGTTTTATGTTTGAGCAGGGGAAAGTGAGGAATGAATTAAGACAGCTACGAATTCAAGAAAGCAAAAAACTCAAAGATCATTTTACAATTCTAAAGAACTTAGAAAATGAAATCTACGTACATGACCAAAAAGCAGACCTTTTGCTGCTGGAAAATAAAAGATTAAGAAAAGTAAGTTCAAAAAGCACCTCACTTTGCACAATGATTTTGGTCGATTGCCTAGATCTGTACTAGGTGCAGGAGAAGAGAAAAGCTCTTAAATTTTTTCAACAAAGCCTAAAATACATACAGAAAAGTGCCCAGCTCAGAAGTGTGCGGCTCAGTGAACACACCTGTGTAACCAGCCTCCAGCTCAAGAAGCAACGTAATAACAGTATCCTATATTCTCTGTCCCTTCTAGTCACTAGCGAACCATCCGCAAGGGTGACATTATACTGACTTTTGACAGACTAATTTTGCCTGTTTTTTGGCATCATATGTATAGATAGTCAACACTTATGATCATGAGATTCATTTCATCCTTATTGCTGAGTATACTCTTTTATTGATTGATTGATTGATTGCTATAGGGTGCACTCGCAGGAAACAGAGATAGGGAGAGAGAGAGAAGAAGCGAGAAAGCACTCAGTGTTGCTATGAACATTAGAATACTTGCTGTTTTGGGAAGCACATGTACACATTTCTGTGGGCTATACCTCTCAAGCGGAAATGCAGAGCGGTAGAGATGTGTATCTATTGTCAGTGTCCCAGTGGAGATGCACCAATCGCCACTCCCACCAGCAACACAGGAGGGCGCTGTTGCTCCACATTCTCTCCCACACTGTCTTCAATTTAACCAACCTGGTGGGTGCACAGCAGTGCCCCGCTGTTTTGTCTTCCTCATGACTAATGGAGCACCTGTTCATGTGTTGTGAGCCGCTCGGATGGCCTCCTTGGTGAAGTGCCTGTTTAAGGTTTTTGATTTTTTTTTTATAGCAAAGAAACTTGTTCATCCAATCCCTGAGATTTGAGTCTCAACTTAATCTCAAAAGGTTGTTTTACTATTTATACTTAAGATATACTCATTTTTTTTCCCCAGAGAGATTTTTGCTATAAGGTGTGTGTGCTCACCAGAGAGACAGAGATAGAGAGATGGACAGTGAGAACCACCACCCAAGGGGGAGGGCTACGCCACATTCCCTTCTCCTTCATTCTCCTCTCAGGATCTTGGGCACGCACGCACACCTGCCAGGCGTGAATTTCAAACCTCTGGGTCCAGGACTCAAACCATGGTTGACTTCATGGGAATCCAGTGACGTAAACAGTTTGGCATCTACTGGTCCCAAGATACTTATTTTAATGTTTTTAAATGTTATGGTTAATAAATAGATATTTATATGTTACTGATTTATATTTTTAGAAGTACATAGATTCTCATATTCCATATACTGTGACAAAACAATAATAACCAATGTGTACATATTATCTAGTGTGAAACACCTGAATTAGAATCTGTCACTTACCAACCACACTGTGTGACTTTGGGCAAATCACTTAACTTGTGTTGTCTTTGTCCCTTTAAAATGAGAATACCACCGTGCACTGGCCCGGTAGTGCAGGAGTTAAGTACGGTGCAGAGGAAGCCAGATCCCATACTGCCCACTAGGATCCAAAAACTTTCTGGGTCTGTGTGCACGCCTAGGGTCCTGATGAAATGGAGAATTGGAGGAAAAAGAAATGTGGTGTGACCAGCTCCAGTGGGGGTGCTTTATCTCTTTCTCTTTCTTGGTCTCTCTTTCCCAATCTCTCTCTTTCTCAGTCTCTCTCTTTCTCTCCTTTGTGCATGTGCACAAGCCCTCTGGTATTAAAAATGAAATAAAATAAAAGACAAAGGAAGAGGAAATAACTCCTAACTCAGGATGAATGTGACTGAAAAATGCAAAAGAAATATCATTTCTAAAATATTTTTTCATGAGATCTCCTGACTTCTCGGAGGGCTTGTGCTGAACTCCAGTCTGGAGCATTACTGCTTTTGCACATCTTGTGCACATGCGTTTTGCATAATGAACACTTCTGTTGGGGACATCATCTATTCAGGAAAACACCTCTTAACTTCTTTTCACGGCAAGTTGTATTCAGAATGCCATGCTTATTTGGATTCTACAAAGCTGACCAGGAAGCAGTATCTTTCTCCTCCTTTCTCAGGACACTTGACAAGAGCATGTTTCGTTCATCACTGTTCCCCCCATACCTGGAACAGTCGGTGGCAGAGAGGAGAAATCCATTAATACTTGTTCGCTGAATAGTTACATGGGTAATTGTCTAAGGCAGCCACACTGCAAAAAATGATCACATGCTTTTACTCTCCAGTACATAGAACACACCAAGAACAGCATAGAAAAATACAGCAATGGACAAGAAGCCCTCAGGCATTCCTCAAATATCCTGTCTTGGCAACTGACAGGTCAGAAGGGTAAGTAATGTGTGTGTGTGTGTTATGGGTGCTCTTTTCATAGAGTTTTTATTTCGTTTAGATCAATGTTACTGATTTGCATACAATGACACACACCCATTTTAAGTTCAATAAATTCTGACAGATGCGCATATTGCTGTGTCCACTTCCACCACAAGCAAGGTAAAGAACAATGGGGATCAGCAGTTGGCATAATGGCTGTGTCGCTGGATTCGCACAGCCATGGAGATCAGCTGTGGGCTCTGGGCACATGTGTGTGCATGTCCAAAATCCCGAGAAGAGAATGGAGGAGAAGGGACTGAGGTGTGGCCATCCCCCCGGGGAGTGATTTCTTGCTTTCTGTCTCTCTCTGTCTTTCTGGCAAGCCCACGCGCCCTATAGCAAAAACCTCTCCAAAAAAAAAAAAAAAAAGATAAAGAACAAATGACATCACTGCCCAGTTTCCCTGGTGTCCCTTCACAGCTGATCTCCCACCCCATTTCCAGTTCCTGAAAACCATTGATCTGTTTTCTGCCGTTAATAAGTAGATATAAATGAAGTAGAAGAATATACATGCTTTTGTACCTTGTTTTTTTCACTCAGCAAAAAATTTTTAGGATTCATTCATATCGTTGCCCATCACATTAGTTGCACAGTATTATCCTATTACATGGATGTACCATATTCAGTTTATCCATTCACCAGCTGGAGGACATGAGGGATGTTTCTAGTGTAAGGTTATCACAAATGAAGCTTTAGGGAACATTGTTTAACTGGTGTTTGTGTGAACATGCTTTCCATTTCTCTTGGGTAAATACCTACAGATGGAATCACTGGGTTACTTGGTTAGTGTATGACTAACTTTGTAAGAAGCTACCCAACAGTTTACCATAGTGGTTGTAAAAATTCCTCATCCTTCTAACAATGTAGAAGCTCCACATCCATAACACTTAAAATTGTCAAAACTCTTTAAGTTGGTAACATTTTAACCATTTTTACAGGTATGTAATGGATTTCATCATGATTTTTATTTTGCATTTCTCTGGTGACTAATATTGTAGAACATCTTTCCATGTATTTTTTTTTTTTTGGCCATTTACACACTATCTTTTGTGAGGGATCTTGAACCAGAAACTGTCCCATCATGACAAATATCACAAACATAATGGCCTAAGACAAGTAATTTACACGGTGGTCCTATGGACAACACGCGTCTGCTTCAATGGCATTAGCCGGGGCAATCTGAAGGCCGTAGTAATCCAGTAGCTGGGAACTGGACTCATCTGAAGACCCACTCATTCATGTGTCTGAAGCCGACCATTGGCCAGAACACCTCCTCATGGCTTATCCATGTAGCTGATTGGTCTGCTAGGTTGGAAAAGCAAGCATTTCAAGAAACCAAAGAAGTTTCCGGCATTTCTATGACCAGTCTCAGAAGTCAAAGTATTGCTTGCACAATACTCCCATAGTGGAGGCAATACTCTAATAGTCGCTCAGGTACAAGGGACAGGGGGAAAAGTGTCAGCATCATGGTGGAAAAGGGCACGTGGAATAAATAGACTGTTGGGCCATCTTTGCAAAGTACAATCTGCAACAGCCTGTCCAAATCGTTCACTCATTGTTTTGTGTTATTTGTGTTATTATTAGTGACATTCTTTTCTTTTCTTTTCTTTTGGAGAGTTTTTTGCTATGGGGTGTGTGTGCTGACCAGAGAGACAGAGACATGAAAGGAGAAATCAGACCCGAGGGCGGGGGGTGGAGGGAGGTCACACCGCAATTCCTTCTCCACTCTCCTCTGGGTATCTTGGGAATGCACACACTGGCACCCAGCCTGAGGTTAAAGCCACTTGGTCCAGCACTCAAACTGTGGTGGATCATGTGGGAGCCCAGCAACATATCCATTACAGCATCTGCTGGTCCCATTAGTTAAATTCTTTATATATTTAGGAAATGAGTCCTTTTTTGGTCAGAAACTTAACTGTTTTTTATGGTTTCTCAAAAACAATAAAAATATTTCATTTGGATGAAGTCCACTTTTTACTTTGTTTTTGTTTTTGTTTGTTTGTTTGTTTAATTTGCTAGAAAGCACATGTGCTTTGCCAGAGAGACACCATGTCCTGCCAAATACATTTTGTCTACCTTAAGGTCTTAAAGATTTTTTTCCTGTAACGTGTGTGTGTGTGTGTGTGTGTGTGTGTGTGTGTGTGTGTGTGTGATGGAAGGCACATGTGCTAACCAGAGAGAGACAGAAATTGCGGAGGGTGGGGAAAGCACTCTGCATGGGGAATGTTCATGCTGCAATTGCGTCTCCTCCGTCTCTACCTCCTTTAAGGAATTTGGGCTAGTGTACATCAGTGTCTGGTCTGTTTCTCAAGCCATCAGGTCTGGGGACTTGAACTGCATGGTTGGCCATGTGGGATCTAGCTACTTTAACCACCAGACCATGGAGCCAGCCCTTCCTATAAAGTCTTTAGTTTTAGTCTTTATATCTAGATCTCTGATTCATTTCAAGTGAATTTTTTCCTGTGGTGTGAGACGAGGGTTGAATTTGTTTTCACTTATGAATATCTAGCTGTTCTAGCACTATTTTTTTTAAAGGTATCACTCTTTTTTAAAAATTATTTCTTTCACAAGAGAAAAAGAAAGAGAGATTCAATATCCCGACGGGGTCTCAATGTCTCAATCTACCCCAAGCTTCAGCCAGCCCAGATGAAGCCCAAACACATGCCCTGCATATTCAGAGAGGTCTCCAGACATTAACTGGTAACCTTCCCTGTGAGTCTGCCTCTCAAAGCACTGTGTTCTACTACTTAGTCATGTCTGGCTTCCCAGGCTTTTAAATGGCTTTTAAAAATGATTATCCTTTCACCATTGTACTTCCCTGTCAACTTTTTCAAAAATCAATCTTCTGGAAACTAGTGGATGGCATAATGTTTACATCACCAGACTTCCACGTGGCCATGCGGTTTGAGTCCTGGACCCCGTTACTTGAAACTCACGCCGGGTGCATGGGTGTGCATGCCCAAAATCCTGAGAGGAGAATGGAGGAGAAGGGATTGTGGCGTGGCCATTCCCCCTGGGGGGGAGGGGAGATTTCTCACTTTCTGTTTCTCTGTCTCTCTGGTGAGTGCATGCGCCCTATAGCAAAAATCTCTTCAAAAAATAATAATAACAACAATAATCTTCAGGAGGTGTTCTTTTATTGTAAATGTCTACCTTTATACAATGCCACACTGTCCTGCTACAGCTTCATAGGCAGTCTGGAAATCAGACGGTATTAACGGAAACTCTGTGGGGTGTTCCTCTCTCTGTGCCTGTCTCTGTGTCAAAGTTCAACTTTGTGCTTCTCTTGACATCACAATACCTAAATCTTCTAATCCAAGAACACAGTACAGATATCCGTTTATTGGGGTCTTTAATTTCTATCAGCAAGGTTTTGCAGCCTTCCTTGTTGTATCAGGTGTCCCCAGGATTAACGGTTAGCTAGGAAGCTTCATAGGACTGGAAAGTTGTGATCCTTGTATTGTCATTACAGTGAATGACATAGAGTATGATACAGAGTAAAATCAGCCTACAGGGAAAGGCAGGAGGGCAAAGTACAGAAACCAGGAACTTCTGGGTGTCCCTGGTGGAGTTACACGGATGTACTGATACTCCAGCAAAAATGAACAATGTGTGACCACATATCAAAGTGTTGCCAATCAGGGAGGCAGACCGGGTTTGGATATCCAGGGGCTACTCAATCCTGTAGGCAGACAGTGCTTGTGTGATAGGCCTCAGCTGCTCGGGCGTCTGCCAAGATGCCCCCCCACGGTAGTTCTTTACACTGTTCCGTAAATTGCATTGATGGATTTTTAAGTGCTAAACCGATCTACCACTTCTGGAATAAAGTGCAATTATTCAAAAGCTTTTATTGTTTTTCTCTGTTGCTGGGTTCAATGTGCTAATCATTGTGCAGATTTTTAAGTCTGTCAGTACCTGTCTTTGCTTGTGCTGTAGTCAGAGAAATGCCCCAGCCCCCCACAGAACTTTGGAGGATCTCAGGGTTCACCCTTTGTTTCCCTTTTGTCAGGTGTCACAGTTTTCTTGTGCTGCCCATTCTCTGACAGCTGAGAACATTTGCTACACGTTTTGCCCCTTTTTTCTGCTTGCTTGCAGTGGGAGGGCAAGTTCAATCCGGTTATTCTGTCATTTTTGGAAGTAGAAATATTTAACTAAAAACAATTTATGAGGGCCGGTCATGGTGGCACAGTGGCAGCACACTGTGGAAGACTGGAGTTCAGTTCCTGGGACAGCCACACATGCTGGCCAAGTGCACTTGTGCCCATGATTCTGGCTGGCTGGGAAGGTTAAGAAGAGGATTACAGCATGAGACTCTGTGGAGGGTACTGTACTCTCTCTCATGTAAGATAAGTAAATAAATGAAACTTGAAAGAAACCAATAATTTCTGGAAAACAAAAACAGGGTCAGCCAGTGGCGCAGTGGTAACACAACACCCTGTGATGCTGGACCTGCATGGGAAAGTTCCAGATTCCCATCGTGAGGTCTTCCGGTGTGCGCCAGGTGCATGGCGTGTGTGCACCTGTGATCCCGGCTGGCAGAGACTGGCGGTAGATGGCAGCACACCAGCTATATTTGGAGTACTTGTCTCTGTCTCTCTGTCTTTTCCTCTTGAAGAAATAAATAAATTTATAACAATAATAAAACTGTTAAGAAAATTGTCAAGTTGTTTTAGTAACCATTTTTATTTTTCACATCTTCGTTTCAGCACTGTATATGCACCTGTGGGCTAGATTTCAGATCACAGTTAAGGTGAGTGTTTCTGCATCTCCCCTCCACAAGTATCATATCTCTAAAAATGTTTAGCTCCCTAGTAGGTGCGCGCGGTACTGGTTGGGAGGTAGTATCAGGGCTGCTGGGGACTTACAAAGCTAATACAACCATCTCAGGTCATAAAATACATCCTTTGTGCCAAATGTCACTATTAAACCTTAATCCTTCAGGAAACTGTCTTTTCTACCACTCATTTAAAGTGAGAAAGGCTTCTTTTAAAAAAACATTGTTAGCAAGTTCAAAATGAACACATTTTGTTTTAAAACAAAGTTGTTAGTCCTAACTCTGGCTGTCTTCGTGCTGCACCAGTCAGGCAACCTCTCCACCCTACCCACTTCAGAGTTGGGTGGGCCAGAGTTCACCTCCTGGCTCTGCCACTTTCTAAGTACAATATTCAAAGTTTACAAGTAATCCTTTTTCAAGCCTAAGAAACACTGGATAAGGTAGATCTTAATAATGCCTTTTTCAGATGAGGCTACTAAGGCTCAGAAAATTTTGAGTAACTTGCCCGAAGCTCAACAGTTCATGAATTTACAGGAATTTGAAACTCAGTTCTTGCCTGATTCCAAAGTTCTTTCTCTAAAGCTGAGCACTCTCTGCAGTTCTGAGAGTGACAGACCTTTTATGCCAATGACTGCCACGGTCAACTGGATCTCCGGGTTCAGTGAGCACTTTATTAAGCCTTCACATTTCATCACTCACTTTTCTGAGATCTCTTACAAAACTTTAGGAATCAACTGTGTATACATACACTGATTTTTGCATAAGAAATATCAATTTTGCATGCGTAATACTTTGTTTTAGACATTATCTACCGAGGCAAAAATGTGTTTTTTATTTATTTTGTTGTAATTTATATTCTCACGCCCCCAAATACCATTTCTTTAAGGATTTGGTGGACAGTGGTAAAGAGACCTTGCAAGAAATAAAAGATCTAATAGACAAACTGCAGAGACGGGATGAAAAAGTTGAGCAAATCAGTAGTTGGCTACAAGGGAGTCTTGAAGAGCTGCTTTTTCTTATGGATCAAGAATCCCAAACGGACCTTCAAGGTAAGCAATAGCTCAGAGCGGTTGGTAACGTAGAATTCCCTGCTACTTTGTTGTAGCTGGTAACATCAAGGAAGAAACACAAAGGGCCAACTAAATAACTTAGTCATCCCCAGTAACTCGTCCTCATTAGTATCACCACCTTTCTTTCAGCTGTACACTGATGCTCACCTGTGGGGTGATATGGAAGTGTGGGTAGACAGAAATGAGCAGGCAGCTCTGAGAAAATAGCAGCAGGACATCTTCCTCTTCAGTCACAACTTAGCAGGAATTAACAACCAGACCCTTTGCAAAGACTTCTTCCTCCCACCCGGCTTCTGGCACCTGGAAAGTTATCTTCCCTCCTGCCATCCCAAACATACACACATAAATCCAGCACAAGGATGGATTTATGAGCTAGGCCGACATCCTAATTCTCACTGGGACAATAAACTAATAGGGCAGTTCATCTACATATGGGTGCTCATGCCTTCCGAATCCATGAGCATGCGTGATTAGGTACTTAAATTCCTCACCTGTGAGCGAAATGCACAGGCGCAGGAGAAAGCCCACAAAATCAAAGAAGCCAGATATGATGACAGACCTTCCCCTGAAAAATACTCATTACCAACTCTCAAAATAAAAGTAACACCTAATCTCATGCCCAGTGCAATTGTCCTTCTCTGGTATTTGCCTACCTTCACTCCTTTCTAATTTAGGAGTATATTTATTTTCTATTAATATTAAAAATATTCACTTTTCTATCAAAACTTTTTTTCCCTACTTTACAAATATTTATGGTTTTTCATTCTCTAACCTTAGCAGTCTGGACCCAAAGAACGGAGGGTTTACACAAGGCAGCTCCATTCCCTCCATTCGAGAACAGATAACTGGAGTGCAGCAGTGTTGGTCAACTCTCCCTTCCGCTTATGAGAGTTTTCTGGATAACTGATTTTTTAAAAGAGATTTTTGCTGGAGACACAGAGAGAGACAGAGAGAGAGAGAGAGAGAAAGAAAGAGAGAGAGAGAAAGCAAGAAATCACCTCCCAAGGAGGATGGCCACACCTCGACCCCTTCTTCGTTCTCCTCTCGGAATTTTGGGCACACACACATGTGCACCAGGTGTGAATGTAAGCCACCGGGTCTGGAACTCGAACCATGGTTGACTATGTGGGAGTCTAGCAATGTAACCATACACCATCTGCTGGTACCCGCCCCCAACACACTTTTTTTTTTTTTTTTTTAGCTTTGGAGCATGTGTGTCTGCTAGGACAGAGAGAAAGAAAGCACCTCCCAGGGAAAATGACCACAGCATAATCCCTTCTCCATTCTCCTGTTGAGATTTTGGGCTCACAGGCATGCCTGTACGTTTTTCAAGCCACTTAGTCTGGGACTTGAACTGTACAGTTGACTGTGTGGATCCAACCACCTTCACCACCATGCCACCAGCTGGCCCTGGATAACTGAATCTTCTTTATGATGTTAAAAAAAAAAAACTTTTGAAAATAATTTTAGAGACATCTTTTAATTCTTTTACATACCTCTCATCTTCTTAAACAGAATCAGACATAATATTACCTTTTCTTCCTGAGTCGAGTTTAGCATTTAGAAATGGCAACTTTTTCCTTTTCTGAAATCTAGGAATGTCTCCTGGGGCTTTTGAAATGTAACATGACCCGTCTAACATGCTTCCTAATGAGCAAGCAGCCCAGTCTCTGCAGAGGCGTATCAGCTTCCTTCTCAGCCCCTACAGTGTCAATGATGATCACGTCGTGTTGGGCATGGCCAAAGCGCAGAGTAGGGCTGCAGAGAGAAATGGAAATTAACCTTGCCCAGATACAGTCCACTTGGTGGAGCCACTTGGGAAGGTGTATGGTGGGGGTAGAGTGAGCATCAGAGAAGGAAGGAGAATGGGGTATAGAGAAGATACAGAGCGGAGAAAAAAATTAATGCCATCTTGCAAGTGACAGGTCTATTAGAGGCTATTAAAGTTTAATTGTAGGGAACCAGCAGTTAGCGAAATGGCTATGTCGCTGGACTCCCACGTAGTCGACCGCAGTTCGCGTCCTAGACCCGGTGGCTTAAAACTCACGCCGGGCGTGTGTGCATGTGTGCCCAAGATCCCGAGAGGAGAATGGAGGAGAAGGGCTTGCGGCGTGACCATCCCCCCTGAGGGGTGATTTCTCGCTTTCTATCTGTCTCTGTCTGTCTGTCTGGTGAGCGCACAGGCCCTATAGCAAAAACCTCTCTCTCAAAAAAAAGTTTAATTGTAAAGAATATAATAATAAAGTAAGCAATTTTAAAGGTAGGTCATAGAAAATAAATGGAAACTTTTTAAAAAGTATAAAAGAGGGAAACTGAAAGAGTAACAGTTGCTTTTAATAAAAACAAAACCATGGGACCAGCAGATAGTATAATGGTTATGCCACTGGACTCCCATATAGTCAACCACAGTTCAAGTTGTGGACCTGGTGGCTTAAAACTCACACTGGACACGCATGCATGCCCAAAACCCTGAGAGGAGATGAAGGAGGGATTGCAGTATGGCCATCCCCCAGGGTGTGATTTCTTGCTTTCTATCTTTTTGTCTCTCTGGCAAGTACACATACCCTATAGCAAAACTCTCTCTAAAAAATAAAATTTAAAAAAAGTAAATAAAAATAGTACTTTAGTCATTCTTTAGTCTGTCCAATGGGACAGTCATCTCATAACACTTAAGTTCATATGATAGACCAGCATAAGTAAATTCGACTCAGTTAATTGCCCTTGTTCAGGATAGCATTTTTTTGAAATGTTCCAAGTGTGAACAGTATAAACTGGGGCCAGCTGCTGGTGTGGTGTTTAAGGCACTGGACTACTCACATGGCCACCTACAGCATGAGCTCAGGACCTGGCGACTTACGTCATCATGTTTCCTTTCTTCTTTAAATTTGACCCTGTCTCTCTCTGGTCCAATTTTAAAATAGTAATAATAAATAAAATGAAATAAGCAATTCTTTTATTTAAAAAAAGTATAAGCAATTACATCGACACACACACACACTCCATATGTCTGTATATCTAAAATCAAACATTGTCAAATCTTAACATTTTGCTTAGGATATTTACTTAAGATGTTTTTTCCTCCAAGAAAGAAAACATGACCAATGCATTCTAAGTCCCTTGTACACTTTCTCCAACTCCATTTACTTACCTCCTTCCCGTCCCCACTCCTCGAAAGGATAAAAGGGGTTTTTAGGGAGAGTTCTCAGTCCCAACTGCCTGCTGAAGGAGCTTTAGGCCTTCCCTCCTGACACCTGCTCCTCCTGTGGATACACGCACTCCTCCCTGTCATGGCTCAGGATTTTACCTTGTCTTTCTTTGAGCCTGGTGGCTTCCTTTACTGCTGTACACTGAAAAGGAAATTTAGTGTCTCTCTTCTCGCACCCCTGGCTGTTTTATATTACAGGGACCATTTTTAGATGATCTAGTCTATTAATCGTTTTCTACGAACAGAAATTCATAATTCAATCTCCAATGGTTAATATTTACCAAGGAAAATGTATAGACTGCTGAAAATTACAATGAGATGAAAGCTTGGAGCCTTTCAGTTTCGACTCCGCCTGTGTTTTCGGTTGCATCTCATTTCTCCAGATGTTAAGAATGTCACAAAGAGTCCTGGGCAAGTCCATGTCTACAGCTGGCATCAGACTGAGACTAAAGTGGCATTCCTCCTGTTTTTGTAGAGCCTAGAGCTAAGAATTGGATTTTTTTTCTATTTTAAATATAAAATGGTTAAATATTAAATGATTGAAAAGAAATCAAAAGAAGAATATTTCAGGGTACCACGAAATTCAAATTTCTCTTGGTAAGTAAAGTTTTATTGAAACACAGGCATGCTCATTCATTTACACATTGCATATGGCTGCTTTAGTGCTGCTGTGATGGAGGTGAGGGGACCCACTCAGCCTACAATATTTACTACCTTACCTATTACAGTTTGCCAAGCCCTAACCTAGGGTGTTGACCCTGACCCTGACCTCCTGTTCTCCTTTGGCTACTCACAGAGTGGCTGAGATTTGCTGGCAACATAACAAAGCCTAAGGACCACATAGGCAGAGACACAAACGAGAACAAACCACTGCAATTGACCAATCCTGGAAAAATAAAATTTTCATTGAAAATAAAAAGAACGTCATTTCATTATATGAAAAAATGTTTATGCCTACTAAAAATGTATTTTCAGTCAACAGACTATTGACTGGAGGAATTTAACTTTAAAAATCTGTATTATCAGGGCCAGCAGATGGTGTAGTGGTTACATCACTGGACTCCCACATGGCCAACTATGGTTCAACTCCCAGACTCGATGACTTAAAACTCACAGCAGGTATGTGTGTGTGCGTAACCAAGATCCTGGGAAGAGAACAGAGAAGAGATTGTGGCATGGCTATCCCCTCAGGGGGAGATTTCTCACTTTCCCTCTCATTGTCTTGACTTCTGTTTCTCTCCAGGAAGCACACATACTCTAAGGCACACCCATAGGAAACCAGACTGAAATACACAGCACACCCCATTTTAACCAACAGCACAACCCTCTGTGAACTGCACAACTCATCAATGAGACAACAGCACACATCACTGAGACACACAGCACAAAATTGCGACCCACAGCACACCCCACTCCGACCCAAATCTCACTGAGACCCATAGCAAACCTCACTGAAATCCACAGTATACCCCATTTTAACCCACAGTTCAGCACACTTTAACCTACAACACAACCCTTGTGAGCCATACAACACCTTAGTGAGAGCCATAGCACACATCACTGAGACCTACAGCACAAAACTGTGATCTATAATACACCCCACTCAAACCAATACCTCACTGAGACCCACTGTGAAGCTCACTGAAATACACAGCACACCCCACTTTAACCCACAACACACCCCATTTTTACCCATAGGACAACCCTCTGTGAACCGCACGGCATCTCGGTGCAACTACAGCACACATCAATGAGACCCACAGTACAAATCTGA